GTACCTGTGATTCTGAGGCACCAACTCTGCGTCCAAAGACAGGAGATCCCAGTGTTACTTACTGTGGGTTGGTCATGTTGAAAGATGCAACCAGAGCCACGGGTTTTCTTGGTGTCTAGTGGGGCCCAGCTCTCTTGATGCCTGATGTCAGCATTTCTAAGTGTGAATTCTACAAGACATACAAATATGTACCCTGAAGGTAAATAATTGAATAGAATGAATCTGTTAAACTCAGGTGTCAAGCCAAAGTCCCCCTAAAGCTCATCTTAAAAAAACAAGTTCTTAGAACTTTCTTCCATGTAGCACTTTTCATCAAGGTTATGTTTGAACAAAGTGTATGTTTATCCTATGGGGGATGACAATAAACATAGTTTTTCACTTTCAAAGATGAATAAATGGTCCAGAGTAACAAAATTACTTTTCTATGTCCCATAGATGGTGGAAGAGCCTTATTTGGACACCAGATTTCTTATCTACAACTCTTTCCACTAAATGGCCATAACTAAGAAAACCAGTGTAATTTGATACTCCATCTTTAGGAATCTCAAAAAATCTCAAATGTTCTCCCACAGTGAAAGAGGCATCATACCCTGGGGCCAGATTGCCTGGGGCAGAGCCTCACTCCCACTTACTAGCCTTGTCATCTTGAGTAAGTTAGTTAACCCCTTGTCCCCAGTTTCTCCACCTGTAAAATGGGAATAATAATAGAACTAAATGATTTAATATATGTAAAACACTTAGAATAGTGTCTGCCATGTAATATCGACTTTTATTATCATAATTATTTCATAAATTTAAATTGCACTATCTTAAATCTGAGCACATTCCAAAGCACTTTGGATGACTAAGTGTAAAATTTTCTCTGAAAATCTGGACTAGGTAAATAGACTATACTTTTCTGTAAACCAGTGCTATGGTATCGACTAGGAGATGGTATGTAACATTCCAGCAGAAAGTCCACAAAGAGATAGACCCAGGTTCTGGGTGATTTTGAACAAGTTCCTAGGGAGGTTTCTCAGAGACAATACTTGTTCAAGTCGCATTCTACTGCAAACTATTTTGCCTCAAAGACATCAACACAGGGGAAACTCCCCTCCCAGTCCTGAAGCTCGGCAACCAGAAGCAGTTGAACTGGAGAGATGAAAGATGTGACATTGTGCAAAAGGAAAGGGCACTCCCAGGGGGGAAGATGTCAAGGGGTGGATGAGAAATCTGTACAATGAGGAAGCTTCTCTGAGTTCTGTGAAATTTAAAAAATGAGAACTCAAGTTAAAGGTACTTGAGAAAATCTTGGTAAAGTCTGAACTTAGAGCAATCGGAAAGAACAGAGATGGAGAGCTTTCTAAAATTAGAAGGGTTTTAATGTAAGGAGCCAGCATTTCCACACCAGACGTTTGTGGGACAAAAAAAAAAGCAAGGGGCAACAGCAGGGAGAATTTGGACTTTTTGTGACCACACCTTGCTAAAAGCTTCATCTTACCTTAGTATATCTTAGTAAGAAGGGCCTAAATGTTAAAACCATATTAAAAGGTACTATAAAATACTTTTATAGTATTTGGGATTGTGTATTGATTGTACAGTAAGTTTTATAAAATTCCCCATCCTATAATATGAATTTAGTCAGTCTCAATCTGAAGCCTCAAATTAATAAACTGTTCTCAGTAGTAAAATTGGTTATATTGTGCGCCTAATCTCAACTGGCAATGAAATCAGGTAACCACAAAGGGGACAACAGGAGAGCAATGCCCCCTTGGGGAATGGTATTTTAACAAGTGATATTCCCAGCACTTTCTGTACTACGCAAGGTACTGGCCCTGTGTCAGATGCAACAGGAAGATCTTTGCTTTCATGGACCTTCCAGTCTGGGTGGACAGGCAAGTTTGAAACATACAAAACTCCAAAATTTTTGTGTGAAGAACAAGTAAAACTTGACAATTCTCCTTATAAGTAATAAGCAGGAACTGCTACAGTAATATAACATGGCTAATACAAAACGTATACAAAAAACAGAAATGAAAATGATTTTCAAAAATTTCTTTGACCTTTTAGGAAGGAAAATTTCAAGTAAGCAGAATTGTAGAGAATTATATAATGAATTTCTAGTTACCTGTCACCCAGCTTCAACAGTTATCAACTCGGACAATCTTGTTTTCCTCTATATCCCTGTCCCATTCCCACCCCTCAAATTATTTTGAAACAAATCCCAGGTGTCATTTCATTATCTGTAAATGTTTCAATATGTAGCCTAAAGAAAAGGATTCCCTTTAAAAGTTATATCCACAAAACTATCATTACCCCTAAGTCAACAACACTTTCTTTATATTATCAAATATCCATTTCCCCATTTGTCCTGTGATTTTTTAAGGTTTGTTCAATCAGACCCACACATGATGACTGGTTAATGTAACTTTTAAGTCTCATTTAATCTGTAGGTCTCTGTGGATAAAATGAAGGTTCCTGTGGCCAGGATTCTCACCTGGCCCTGGTCCACTAGCTCACTACACACAGTTGGGCAATGTTGCTTTGACTCTATATAAAGAGCTCCGCCCTGTGCTCTGGGCGACATGGTGGCACGGCTGCAAGGCTGCAGGAGAGCAGAGCAGAGGCTGGAGTGGTGGCAGCACCGAGGACAGAGACTGAGACAGCTGTGGGGGTAGAGAGGCCCAGAGGCAGAGACCAGCTTGCTGCATGCAGACTCGCTCTGAGTGGACGGGATTCTAGTGAGTGACCTGCCACTGTGGGAATAGAGTTGGGTATAACCCTTTCACCCCAAGAATGTTCCACTGGCATTTTTTGGTCTCATTGAATCCATAGTGAACTTTCCCTGAGCTGAAACCCACTGGCAAGACAGTCTTCCCCTCTTTTTTCCATGCAGTGTTTTAGAAAAACTGAGTCATTTGTCCCAGGAGTTTCCTGGATTATGGTGATTCTGGATTATGGTGATTATATCCCTTCAGTGTCATTTAACAAGTTCCTCTATCTTCTATATTTCCTGTGAATTTTACTTGGTCAATTGACTTTAATCAGATTCAGGTTCAGTTTTTTTGGCAAGACTATAGGCAGTGCTGTGACCTGCATTAGGAGACACATAATATCTCTTATTCCTCTTTTTCCTCTTTTTGTGACACAAACAGCCACTGATGCTCACTTCCTAGACCCATTAATTCACAAGGGCTTGCAAAAGGGTTATTTTATGATTTTATCATCTCTTCTTCAGCTTCTATGAAGGCAAATTCTTGCTGATCAACTTTTTAATTATCCTAAGGTACAGTCATATAGGAAAGGAAGGACAAACACTTAGCTTTTCCTCCTTTATTTATTGGTTTTCAAAACAATGAATTGGTATCTTGATATCTTCCAGAGTTGATCGATGAGGTTTTTTTTTTCCCCCGCAGGATTATACATTTTAATGCTCGTTCAGTACGGGTTGAGTGAAGGAGAAGATTGTCTGGGGAGGGGGCTGGTAGTTTCCTGGAGAGAAGACGTGGGAGGGGGAAAGAAATGACTGGCATCCTCAGGACAAGGTGAAAATAGGCGGGAGAGGACAGAATTATTTGGAGAAACGCTGGGGAGGCTGCTTCAGTCAGAGGTTTTGATCCTTTACAAGCAGCACATTTTAGAAGGCAAGATCCCTCAAGACGATGTCGTTTAAAAATACTTCCCAAATAAAATAAACCCCAAACCCAAGCCTAGCATGAAGCAGGTGTAGTCTAGCACTCTATAAATGAACATCTGAAGTGCAAACCTGCTTCTCATAAACCTGGTAAAAGCAGAAGAGAAAACATGGATTTGGATTTACTGGGTCTGACTGTGCTGGGTAGTAAAGCTGTTTGACTTTGGTAAATTTCAGTCTCTTCCACTTGTTGCTCATGAATCTTTGTAATTACCAATATCACGTTTACTTGTCCCAGCCAAATCTGCAAAGTTCAGGCTGACATCCTAAGAGTGTCAGAGGTGAAAAAGGTTTGTAAGATCAAGTAGTTCCCTTACCTACCAGGTAAAAAAGCCTGTAATACAGCTCACCTGTCCCCAACGGTACCCTGGCCCATTCCTCCTCACTGGTACAACAGCCCCTTGGCAAACTTCACCTGCTTTTGTATACATTCCATTGGTTCCCAAGTTTGGTTTTACTCAGGTGGGCTTTGGGAAAATATAAATTCATAGGCTGCATTGCAGAAATGCTGAATCATAATTCTGCAGGTGAAGAATGAGATTTTTACATTCCCCAGGTGTTTTTGACATGCAGCTACTCCACTTGACCCTCTGTATCAGTGGTTCTCAAACTTTCCATTGCACCAGAATCACCTGGAAGGTTTATGAAAACAGATTGTTGGCACCACCCACGAGAATCCTTATTTAGGGTGTCTGGAGTGGGAGCCTGAGAATTTATATTTTCAACAAATTCCCAGGGGAATACTGATTTGCTGAGCCACAAACCACATTCTGACCTTCTGAATCAGAAAGTTTGCCTGAGGGAGGATGTTATTTTTAATCCGTATTTTGCAGTTGAAGTTAACTGGTTGCAAAGCTACTGTGGTGGAATTGTCAGCAGAACTTACTACCCTGGCCAGGCTAACAGGTTTAACAGAAATACTTTCATTAGTGCATAACAGAAAATCTGACTAATGGTGAAGAATTAGTCTAATAATAAGAGTCCTGGAGGCCTTGGCTCAAAGATATCACCAAGGACCCAAGCTCTTTTCATCCTTCCATCTCCCCATCTCCTGTGTGATGCACTACTTATACGTATATTGTCATATGGTTGCAGAATGGCTGCTGCAGTTCCAGCTTGTACATCCTCACACCAGCTCCAAGCAAGAAGAAATAAAGATTAAGAAAAATCTCACAAAGCTCTGATCATATTCAGCAGGCACTATCTTTCCAAGCTCTCTAGCCAACATTTGCTGCTGATGTCTCCTTGAGCAGAGTTGGGTAACATGGCTGCAAAGTTGTCTGAGACAATAGGCAGCTGGTCAAGGAAGTAAGGAGTGATATGAAAGACCTGGCCCATTCCTCCTCACTGGTACAACAGCCCCTTGGCAAACTTCACCTGCTTTTGTATACATTCCATTGGTTCCCAAGTTTGGTTTTACTCAGGTGGGCTTTGGGAAAATATAAATTCATAGGCTGCATTGCAGAAATGCTGAATCATAATTCTGCAGGTGAAGAATGAGATTTTTACATTCCCCAGGTGTTTTTGACATGCAGCTACTCCACTTGACCCTCTGTATCAGTGGTTCTCAAACTTTCCATTGCACCAGAATCACCTGGAAGGTTTATGAAAACAGATTGTTGGCACCACCCACGAGAATCCTTATTTAGGGTGTCTGGAGTGGGAGCCTGAGAATTTATATTTTCAACAAATTCCCAGGGGAATACTGATTTGCTGAGCCACAAACCACATTCTGACCTTCTGAATCAGAAAGTTTGCCTGAGGGAGGATGTTATTTTTAATCCGTATTTTGCAGTTGAAGTTAACTGGTTGCAAAGCTACTGTGGTGGAATTGTCAGCAGAACTTACTACCCTGGCCAGGCTAACAGGTTTAACAGAAATACTTTCATTAGTGCATAACAGAAAATCTGACTAATGGTGAAGAATTAGTCTAATAATAAGAGTCCTGGAGGCCTTGGCTCAAAGATATCACCAAGGACCCAAGCTCTTTTCATCCTTCCATCTCCCCATCTCCTGTGTGATGCACTACTTATACGTATATTGTCATATGGTTGCAGAATGGCTGCTGCAGTTCCAGCTTGTACATCCTCACACCAGCTCCAAGCAAGAAGAAATAAAGATTAAGAAAAATCTCACAAAGCTCTAATCATATTCAGCAGGCACTATCTTTCCAAGCTCTCTAGCCAACATTTGCTGCTGATGTCTCCTTGAGCAGAGTTGGGTAACATGGCTGCAAAGTTGTCTGAGACAATAGGCAGCTGGTCAAGGAAGTAAGGAGTGATATGAAAGCACAGAGCAGTCATGATGACCCGGGGGGCTGGGCGTACTGTTCTCACAAACAAATCTCTGTTCTCTTAGCAAGAAGTGAGAAGCAGCTGTTGTGTGTGTAACTGGTTATCTGCCAGACTAGATGTGGACACTTTTGACATGGTTCTGAGACTCAGCTGAGTAAGTTCCCTGGGTTTCCAAATGAGACTGAATAAGTGTTGGTAAGTGGCCAGCAAGGAAATATAAAGAATGTGCTCTCACAAAACTTTGGGGCTCTTTCATTTAGAGAGCATTGCATGTGTGTAAGGTTCAGTTTTGACACCATAAAGCTTGCTATAGGATCTGCTCCTAGGGAGAAGCCACTGAGCGCTGGCACCTTTCACAGACATGATGTTCCACACTCCCAGGAGGAGACAGCTGTGTTTCTTCTGCTAGATGAGAAAGATTTCTGTATTACAACTCAAGGACATCCTTGTTATTACCTTGACCCATTAATACCTTGCTCCATTAACAAGGAGCTAAGATGAAGAAAATCAATCATGTACCCGATTGTTCTCCCACTCTAATCTCCAGGCCATTGCAAAGTTCTCAGCTGCTAAGTGAGCAGCAGTGGGCCCACAGTGGCTCTCTCTTCCAGGTGCAGCACAGGGTCCTGGGGACCCCTCTAACTGCTCTTGTCTGCTTCTCTTCACTTTTCAGTAACGCTGCCTGTCAATTATTACCAGTCTCATGAGGTATGGGAAACAACGAAGCAAGACCCGATCATTGCAAATTACTCAGGTATTCAGAGAAGAGAATTGAGAGGATCATTATCATATATTTCCATTCTCCTAGATACCTTTTTCCTAACAAACACTTCCCTAAATTGAACATACCGTGTCCATTGGCTCCTTGCCGCTGGCCGGCCTGGGCAGAAAGGACACCCCCCATCAGGCATTCCTCCACCCAGCCTGATGTCATTTTCCCTCTGGAATTCCGCAGATCTTCTGGGGAACTTAAATGTCTACGATTTGGGGAAGCACGAACAGTAAGCCAGGGCTGTGTGATACTACGCCGAACCTTGCCCACCCCCTAGATCAAGCAAATCTTACATGTAAATGCCACAGTTTGCAAATCTCCAAAACAATATTTTGCTTTAACATGTTAACTAAAATATGTTAAGAATCCAGGTATCATTAACTGCCATTGAATTCAACACAGCACCAGGCAAGTGCCTATTCTTTGGTAAATGGAAGGAAAAAGTCCTTTTTCTTTAACGCTTTCATATTTCATATGGTAAGATATAAAATTGACCCCTTTACCTTGCCTATATCAATGTCCCCTTTGCCACTGTTACAGACTGAATGTTGTGACCGCTCTCGAAATTCCTAGGTTGCAATCCCACCCCCCAGAGTGACAGTGTAGGAGGCGGGGCCTTTGGAAGTAATCATGTTGTGGGTAGAGCCTCACGCATGGGATTAGGGCCCTTATAAGAGAAAACATGAGAAATGGTTTCTCTCTTGGCCACATGAGGACAAAACAAGGATATGGCTGTCTGCAAACCAGGAAGAAGCTCGCATCAGACACCAGATCTGCCATCACCTTGGACATCGCATCCTCCGTAATCGTGAGAAAAAAATGTTTGCTTTTGAAGCCACACTGGTCTATGGTGGTTTGTCACAGCAGTCAAAATGGGCCAAAACAGTCACCTAACTTTACATTCATCTTAGCACACTAAAAGATATGTAATAAAACATTATTTCTGGGTGTGTCTGTGAGGGGGTTTTGGGATGAGATTAACATTCGAATTGGTAGGCTGAGTAAAGTAGGGTGCCCTTCCTGAGCGAGTGAGCCTCATTCAATTCGTTGAAAGCCTGAACAGAATAAAAGGTTGAGTGAGAAAGAATTTTCATGCTCTTCCTCACTTTCTTTGAGCTGGGACATCGACCATCTGCTCCAGACTCATCCTTGAACTCACACCATTGCCTCTCTTCGGTCTGGTTTCCGTACTAATGTGAGCCAGTACCTGATAATAAATGTCTTTATTAATACATGCTTATATGTCCTATTGGTTCTGTTTCTTTGTAGAACCCTAATACATCGGCAAGCACGAGAAGCGCTCAGGTGACTGGGCTTGTCCGCCCTTTTGCACATCGTCACGATGACCTGTACGCCCAGGCTGGCCTGTTGGAGGACGCCTGGCACTTCAGCCACGGCTAGACAACAGCCCGCTGTCCCCTTTGGCATATGGATGAACCTGGTCAAGGTCAGGATCACCAGCCACGCCCAGCCTGATCTGCCAGCCCACAGACTCATGAGCTGAATACAGTTTTTCTTGAAATTTATTCTTCAGTCTTATATAACACCTTTGTTGTAGGAACAATACTAACCATTGATATTATTAGGATAAATGAGACAAGGTCACAGCGCTCAGGAAACTCATGGATCAGTGATGGAGACAGATGCATGGATATAAATTAAAATTCAAACGTGAGAATAATGAGATATTACAAAAGAGGGCTTTGAAAGCTGTAAACTTCCTTATAAATATTAAGTAACTGATGACTCCACACTGGCAGACATGATCTCCCTCTTTCTTCAGCCGTCTGTTAAAAAAAGGCTTTTTTTAAGCCCACCAAGTGTTTTGGGGTGGTTTACTAATCGGTATTACTATGGCGACAGATCACTGATACATTATAGACAAATATCCATTGCAACACATAAAATAGTAACAAAGATGTATATTTTTAAAACTCTAACCCTCACACCATCCTCTATCTTAACCTTCCACCTATAAATCCTTGCTCAGAATTATGTAAGCGTGTACTCACATATATAGGCTAATTTTTGTGGGTTTGTGTTTAACAAAATAAAACCAATTTTGCAATTTGCTTTTAACATTTAGCAATTTATAATGGACATCTTTCTGGTCAGTAGATAACAATTTACATTTTTTCTAATTTCTTACACGCACACATGCATACGGTAACTATATATAAGTTGTCTGCCATGAAATTCAAGGTTTCAGTGGTGCCGCTTCTTCTTGCCTTCTTCCCCACATCACCTGCTTCACCGTCTCCCCGACATACAGACACGCACACGCACGCACCGCACACCATCAGACGTGGTATGCCTCTCCTTTCCTTTGTGCTTATATAATTATACACAAATAAACATTTTATTGTTTGTTTTATTTTAAAATATGTATTATTCATACTTATCTACTTTTTGCTTTCCCCCACTAAACAAACGTGAGAATAATGAGATATTACAAAAGAGGGCTTTGAAAGCTGTAAACTTCCTTATAAATATTAAGTAACTGATGACTCCACACTGGCAGACATGATCTCCCTCTTTCTTCAGCCGTCTGTTAAAAAAAGGCTTTTTTTAAGCCCACCAAGTGTTTTGGGGTGGTTTACTAATCGGTATTACTATGGCGACAGATCACTGATACATTATAGACAAATATCCATTGCAACACATAAAATAGTAACAAAGATGTATATTTTTAAAACTCTAACCCTCACACCATCCTCTATCTTAACCTTCCACCTATAAATCCTTGCTCAGAATTATGTAAGCGTGTACTCACATATATAGGCTAATTTTTGTGGGTTTGTGTTTAACAAAATAAAACCAATTTTGCAATTTGCTTTTAACATTTAGCAATTTATAATGGACATCTTTCTGGTCAGTAGATAACAATTTACATTTTTTCTAATTTCTTACACGCACACATGCATACGGTAACTATATATAAGTTGTCTGCCATGAAATTCAAGGTTTCAGTGGTGCCGCTTCTTCTTGCCTTCTTCCCCACATCACCTGCTTCACCGTCTCCCCGACATACAGACACGCACACGCACGCACCGCACACCATCAGACGTGGTATGCCTCTCCTTTCCTTTGTGCTTATATAATTATACACAAATAAACATTTTATTGTTTGTTTTATTTTAAAATATGTATTATTCATACTTATCTACTTTTTGCTTTCCCCCACTAAACAATATCTTGCAGAAATCCCCCTCTTCTAAGTCAAGTAGTAAAACTTGAGTTTGTTCTTTAATTGGAGTGCATGATATTCCATGGTGGGGATGCTTCATAGTTTAGTTAACAATTTCCCTATTGATGGGCAGTTTTAGATTTTGGGTGGGGGGCACTATGAAAAATGCTACATTAAACATTCCTATTTACATTCCATTATGTACTGTTATCTTTAATTGTATGAAATGGGTTCTCAGGAGTGAGACTACTGGGCTGAGGAGTACATAGTTTCAATTCTAATGGCTGAAACAAGATTGCTTTCCAAAGGGCTGTAAAGTTCACATTCCATAACAAAGTAAGAAACTTCCCCTTTGAGGGGAGAGTCCTAGTCATTTGCAAGCTGTTGAGGGTGGCTATACACCAGATATGCCCAAATATTGGCTTTATCATACCCTCTTCCCCATGCAGAAGTAACTGGAGGAAAAATGGAGGACAAAGGTGAAACCAAAAATAGTGATATATATCCTTACATCACAAGAAAACATTTAAGTTAACTTAGGAAATATCATCACAGTATTCCTATGAGTTGTTTCAGCGACAGCCAATCCCCTGAGAATCCTGTTTTCTTCTTTGTTGTATAAACCCTAAACCCCTAAGCTAAACCAATCACATAACCAGTTTCTGTGTTCTCTCCAGTGCCCCTCATGCCACACCCCTTCCCAGAACTTAAAAACTGTCAGTGTGGGTGGAAATACGGCAGGCTTAAATGAGATGCAGTTCCTGACCAGCTGTATGAAAATCATCATCAAAGAATTTTAGGAAGAGTCACTCACTCTTTTTTAACAACTAAGTATATCGATATGCAGGTCAGTGCCCAGCACATTACCAGAAACTGCTAGAAGGTGGCGCCAGAATTCCCTGTAGTCTCCCCGCCGCTGCTGTGCTCTGCTGTCCCCTTCATCCCCAGGGAAGTCAGATTCCCTGTCACAGACACCAGTCCTTGCATCATGACAAGTGCCTAAGTGTTGGCTAGTGTCTCATTTGACCACGAATGGCATGGAGTCCCTTGGCACCAAGCTGGGGATTTTGGTTTTAGTTAGGAGTTGGGGAAAAGTGCCACTCACCAATTCCTCTCTTTGAAGAGGGATTTATGGAATGTCTTTATGGAAGCTCCCTGACTTGGAGCCGTCCTACATGACGCTCCTGTGTGACAGCGCTCCACGTAAAGCTCTTGGGATGCTGGGAAGTTCTCACTTCCTTCAAAACAACACCACTTCTTCTAACGGTAGAGACTGTAGGAAATTGCCAGCCAAGGTCTCTGGATCACTGATGGCCTATCTGTTGGTCAGGACTCCTCAGGTAATAGGCATCTACAAGACCTCAGGAAGTGCAAAGCCGGGTGCTGGACACTAGGAGGCCAAATGGTCAAAGGTAAATCCTTGCTGTCAAGTTTTCAATCCATCAGAATGAAGGTTCTAAAGGAGCAAGATGTGAATAATGGTTGAAGAGTGTGTGCTGAATGCCAGCTGAGCGTTACAGAGAGGAGCGTGGGTGCAAACACAGTAAGGCAGGAGGACATGTAGTCTGCACAGCTCAGAAGCAGTGGTCCTTCACATGGTGCAGCGACCTGGCCTTACCCAGACCACTTGTCAGTCTAGTGGCAGGGTGAAGAGGACAGGCTGCAGCAGGCCCGGGGACCACCTCTAGAGCACATCCGAAATGCTGATTGCTGGGCTAACCCTGAGAACCACTGGCCTGAAAGGCTGCCCACCCCTTATCTGCTGTACTTCTATGGCCTCCTTCGAGAACCACAATCAGAGTCTCTTTAATTGCATAAATACTTCTGGGCCTGAGTTCATTCTAGTCCTGTCTCCTTGTGCCAACCCTCTTGTGGACCCACCACCATTACCAGCTTGTCTGCTCTCAGAAAATCTTTCATCAGCTCCAGAAGCCCTCAGTGCATTCCTTTGTCTTCAACAGTACTTTCTTATCTGCCCTCAAGCCAGGACAAACTGCAGATATTCTTACCAAGGTTTACATTCAGACTCAGAAACACAGTAACAACACTCTAAGACCCAAACTGATCAAAACACTCAACTGGGCTCTTAATGCAACACAGGTTGCATGGGACATGGGTACAGAAACTGGGCTGATCCCTTAGAACCCAGTTTTGCACTGAGATGACAGCTGACTGATTCACCTCAGACTCTGTCACAGCATTTCATTTGATCCTGGTATGTGACAAAGTAACATGGCATATGAGGAATCCTTACTGTTAGCACCACATTTCCTAGTCTGAAAGAAGCCGTCAGTGTTAAGGCACCCAGTCAATTTGATAATAGCTTGTCCGTGAAAACACTTAGATTCTGTTACATCATGGTAAATTATCGTTAGTACTCAACATTTGTAACATAAGATAAAAATGAATATAGACTGAATATCAGCATACCTGAGGGGGAAGGGAGCCTAGAGCCACAAACTCCCCCTTCTGGTAACTGGCCAGAATGACCAGAAAGAAATAAAGATAATGTTAAATTTATAGGGAGCTCAGATGTGAAAACAAAGGGGATCAAGACTACAACATCCACTGAGAGAGAAGCAACCTGAGGGGCTACAGAGAGCCTCCTATTGAGAGGCCTGAACCTGGGGGGTGAGGGGAGTCTCCTGCAAGGGCTAAGGGAGAGATGCAGCCGCCACCCTGGGGGACACTTTAATCTCCATAATCAGCAGTATCCTGAGGCTTCAAAGGAGGGCCAGGAAAGAAGCACTGATCATGGCCTTCGTTGCTGTGAAATCTTTTCCTCTGGCTGAATTTCTAAGAGGTGTGGACCTGCTCAGGTACACCTGCAGGGCAGGTCCACTCATGGGAGAGACTAGGAGCAGCCCATCCTTCAGGGGCTTTCTCCAAAACGGCTTTTCAAGGGAAAGTAGGGAGTTGTCAGGAACCAAAGTGTGACTTTTTCTGACCGACCTTCAACAGGACAGCTTGTGCTTCCAGCTCGGTGGGCAGAGACCCCAGGAGACAGCCTGGCCACAGTCTCCCCTGAGGGCTGAGGACAAGGGAGAATGGCTCCCGAGGTGGTGATTTCCACACACCAAATAAAAGTCACAGACACGAAGATGGTCCACCTCATCAGTTCGCAAAGACAAATAAATTCAAACCATTATTCTCCCAACGGACTGGGAAAGATTTATAAGACCTGGTACCAATGACAGTGTGGGAAAATGGCAGTCACATACATTGTTTATAGGAGTGTAAATTATTGCAAATTTTCTGAAGGGTATTTATCTGACATTTATCAAAATTGTTTTAACATGCATTCTCTTTCACCCAGCAATTCCACTTTTAGGGGATATATTTTAAGGGAATTAGCTAATAATGGACATACGTGCCTAGATACTTACATAGAAGTTTGATCATTATTATAAAAGCACCATACCTACACATAGTAGGTGCTCCACAAATATTTGTTGACATGGGAACCTATAAAATAATAAGTTGAAAGCAATATAAATGTCTGTCAATAGGAGATTGGTTAAATAATCTAAGAAACTTCTATATTATGTGAATGTTATACAGCTATTAAAAAGGATGATGTTGAATGGCCACCTACAGTTGAGGGCTAAGAGGGATTGACTGCAAAGGCATATGAGAGAACTTTTTAGAATAATGGAAGTATTCTAAATCTTGATTGTGGTGATGGTTCCAAGTGTGTCTTTAAAATGGGTGTGGCTTTTTTGTTTGTAAATTATATTTTCAGCAATATGGCTGAGTTTAAAAAAATGGAATGAAGGTATATTGTTCTCATTAACATGGAAAACTGTCTGCAATGTAACATTAAATTAAAAAGTAGGGTTACAAAAAGACATATATATGATGATCCCACTTATGTAATATATACAGAAAATGTGTATATGACAGGGTGTGGAATGGGGCTTTCCTGTTGTCCTGAAGTTTTGCAGATGACCTACAGTCAAGGACAAAGATGGTACATGTTCCCATTTTCTAAAGGGAGATGCCAGACCACCTATTTAGAACATGCTAACAGATAGTCAGGCTGGTCCACAGGGAAGAAGGCTAGAGAACCCCATGACAGGCTTGCAGGCTGGCTGGAGCAGTGGGAAATGGCCAGGTGAGGACAGACAGCAATGGCGACAGCAGCCTGCCCTCAACCACCAGACTAAGCAAGGATGTGGCACCAGTCAAGGTTCTT